GAAGGTACGTACATGGGTGATATGGATGGTACCTGAATGTGCCTGGAGACAAAAGCAGACCTCGAGGTCCTCCTAATCAAAGCTTGGGTCGCCATTTTCTTCCTTTCCTCAAATTTTTGTTTTTATTTTGGATAAACTACGTACGTATTTACCTTATCAGCTCTTTATTAATTTAACATTCAGATGAGAAATGAAGGATGGGTTGAATTTATAGAGGGAGACTTAATGGCGCAAGAAGGGCTGTAGAAATAAAAGCCGACGTGTGCGGTGTCCGACGTCTTCTCTCGTCCATGCATTGATAGTGTGGCCCAAAACTATTCTTCTCAATAGACGAAGCACGAATATGTAGGAGTTTCTTTATTATATTTTCTTACTCCATTATTCCTGCAACCTGTTATATATGTTTTTTTTTTCTTTCTCAATTCCTCAGCTTTCCACGCTGTACTATTCAGTAGAGTGCAAACTTCTCTACCGTTCAAGTTTTCTCCGTTTACCCGTCAAATAAGGTTTTTATATGTATTTTTTGTTCTACCTTCAGTGGTTTTATTATTTTAGTTCTCTCCTGCAGTCTCAAAATTTATAGTTGACACTTGTATAGAATCTCACTGGATAGTACCCCGGCTCGTTGGCCGGTTGAAATACGATAACATTAATTAATTAAGTTTCAAAATAAAATTTCAATGATTTCATCATCTCTTATATATATTCATGTCACAATTATATGTCAATACCATATAAATCAATAAACAATTATATATTTTTTATCAAATAGCAAGACAACTTCTTAGTTTTTATCATCAATAAAGTTAAATATTTAATTTCTTGGGAAAGAGAAAATTAGCATCCATCATAAAAGATTACTGTGTATTCTGTGCAAATTCTTGCTGAAATTTAAAAAAAAAATATGACTTATGCAAGGGTATGTCAACTCATAATAAACTTAATAAGACAATATTGTAGGTATTCCAAAATAACCAGTATCAATATCACTTTACTATCAGGAATATCTATCATCAAATTCACTATCTTAATTATCAACATACATTTTCTTAGAAGCAAATTCAAAACATAGATCTTAATCATATATGAAATATCATTTTCATGCCAAACAGTGTACCTTATCCCAATCACAACTTTTTGTTGGAGATTATTTTTTGCCATCATTGATAATCTTCAAAAATAGTAATTCGGTTATGAAATTTGCAAGGATTGAAATATTATACTGGAGGTTGTATCGAAAAAGTCAGCGGTAAGATACTTGAAGCTAAAACCATGGTTTAACCGTTTTATACCGCTAAATATCGTCTATCGGTTTAGCCTTCGATAGAAGGTTTATATGTCGAACCACCGGTATGATACGGTTTTTCAAACCTTGGAATACGTTAATCACTAAATTTAATATGAACTTCAACTGCATTATTTTTTTGGTAAATACTCCATACTTTCATTTCATAATGTCACCTTTGAGTGAAATTCAATCACTTCATGAATATCAAAATTAAGTAACATCAAGGTAGCTCTAATTTACTTTTCAAAAAGTAGCTTTAATTAAAAAGAATAGTTTTTTCACCGATAATGCCGACTAATCGTCAATAAATGAACATTAACAACTCAAGTACTACTAAATTAATAATGTTTATCTAACTTGAGGTTCAGAGACAAAGAAGAATGAAATGGATTTGATGAACATAACATCAATAGCTTAGCAAGAATCTTGTTGAATTGAGTAACGCTTCTTCTTCATAAAGTGTCTTCAAAACACATTTTATATACTTGGATTGAAAATCAGAACTTCAGTAAATCATGTCATTTAAAAATTAAAAGTTATACATGTAAGTTGATATCGCCACGATGTACATAGATGATATGAATTTATTGAACATTTTTTTTTTCAAAATCAAAATGTAATTTCTTTTTTCTATAGTGTCTTTGAAATTTACATGCACTTATAATTTTCTCAAGAAAAAAGTAATGATTGCAGTAATGGATTAGAAATTAAAGTTTAGACCAATATTTTTTAGCACACGCTAACATGTTCATACCTTTGAATAAAAATAGACTATATTCTTGAATTGTTAAATTAAAAACCATATGGAACTTCTTTGTTATACGACATAACTGAATGCATGTCGAAAGACCCAAAAATAGTTAGTAAAAGTTTGGTTAATATCCATCTAATACATAATTTCTATTAAATGTGTTTAAAATTTTCATTTACGTACTATTATAAAGTTAGTCTCCTTATTTTATGTTTGTTTAATAGTTTCAAGTATTAAACACGTATTACACGTTTACTACACGTATTTTTAGGAATTAGACTGATAATTTGTTAATTTGTTAAATTTCTAAATTTTCATTATTGATACCAAACTTTTAGCAACACACCAATAATGTATTTTATCAGCAAAGCGCCAAACTTATGAGAATTCATTAATAAAACCATGACTATCATATATAAATACAATGCTAGCCAATGGAGGGTTATGGGTAATTTCTTTTTTATGGAAGGGGGGACATGGAAGTCCTTCCTTCCTTTGCGCGGAGTCCAGGAAATACTCAAATAAGTAGGTGCCAAGCAAAAACCTCCATATATGTATTGTTGGATTAATTAGTAATTTTTAATAAGGGTGATATATATTTTATTTTTTTAATTAAGGTACTACTATTTAAGAGATTCAAACTTGAGATCTCAAGGTTTTAGATTAGTTGTATTATCAATAAACTAAGTCATTGTTCCTCGTTAATCAGTCATTTTTTAAATTTTACCTATCTATTACCACAATTCAATTAACCAATCAAAATATTTTTCATACAATCACATTAATTTCATCGATGAAATCATCACTACAAAAACAAAGAGATTTGGGGATCAAAATAGGGGACGGCCTTTTTATGTTGTCTCAGGAAATAGTTTTCTTAGTCATATTAGGGACAAACACACTATATTGTCTCCGCAGAATAAAGGATGTAGTTTTTTTATCTAATTAGTTGGTTTAGTTGTCCCCATAAATATTCCGAAGGTTGTTGGAAGTTGCTAAAGGTCGCCCTTAAAATTGCTAAATGTCGCCCTAAAAACTATCAAAGTTACAAATTTAACCTTTTAGCTTCTTTACTCTTCCTTTAGCAAACAAACACAACTAAGTAAAGAAAATAAAACATTATTCAAAAGAGAGAATCCATCATCGTCATTCTGGAGTTGGAATCGTCGATATGATGTCTGGAGCATGACTAGCGACTCTGAATCGGTAAAGTTCACTAAAAAAATTGAAAAAAAAAACAAAAAAAGGGAATCGTAGCTCATTTGCGGTTGCACCATGGGCCAACCGCAGCTCACTTGCGGTAGCACCATGGACCAACCGTAACTTGCCTTAGGTTGAGCGTTTTTTTTGGAAATTTCGTTAGAGAACGGGCGACGACGACGGCGGGAAAGACGCCGACGAACTGGTGCGTCGAGAGGAATTCGTGAAGAAGGCAGATGAGAGGTTCAGTTTAAGGGGTTAGGGATTGTTTGGTTTGTTTAAATTTTGAAATTTTATTGGGGGTATATAAGTCATTTATCATTAGAGTTAGGGCGACCGTTAGCAATTTTAAGGGGACATTTACCGATTAAGTTTTTTTATAATATTGGGGGTGGATTTTTTCATGAGCGGATTATGAGGATTTTACCTCACTAAAATTGGCTTGGCAGCAATATTTCTTTCACTGGACTTTAATTATTATGAATTTCTTTTAACTATGACCTTTTCCTTTTCAATCTTGGAGAGTGAATCCTTTTCCTTTTCCATTTGGTTTTCTCTGGAACGTATAAGGGATTAGCTTTTCCCTTTTTGTTTCTGAATCATGAGTTTTATTAGTAGGTTTATAATTAAATAGGTGAGTTTTGTTTTGCCAAACATCAAATTCTGCTACCTGCTTTCGTATAGAAACTATTGATACTAGCAAAGGAAGACGCTGAAGAATTGAAAGAGCTAGCATAAACCATCAGCATATTTAGAACTTACGATAAGCTAATTTCTTGTAATTATAGATTTTCATAGAGTTATCCCTGCTTCTCGTGTCTTTCAAGTTTAATAATTTCTATTAATCGCCCCCTCCCCCCAATTATGTTAAGAGAAACTAGCTTTAGTTAGGATAAAGCTTGCTTTACTTAGCGGTACGCACCATTAATTACGCAACTATATCTTGCGAGAAACTAGATTTAATTAGTTAGGTTAAAATAGTTACTTAGAGAATGAAAGTATATATGTTAGCACAAATTATATACCATTTGATATAAATAATTTCCATAAGTAATGAGAAATTCATTTTGAAATGAAACATTTCTGTGTTTGGTATTTAAAAAGATTCATTTTTAATTCTAAATTTTGAATTTTATGAAATTGGAACTAGTTATAGCAATTCCGAGGAATCGAGATAGAATTTCCAAATGAATTCCACAAGTATTTAGTAATTGTAATAGAATGATATACTTATTTTCTTTAATTAACTAAATTACTTATACATATGCCATACCAAACACATGAATTCATTTGACAATGATTTCTACACGGCAATTCATTTTATTTTTACAGATTTGAATATGACATGCCATACACAAGATTTCATTTGACAATGAATTCTACACGATAATTCATTTTACAATGAAATGAATTCTCGATTCATTTGATAAAAATGAGATTTTGGAGAATTATACAACCTGGAAAAATCGATTGATTTGAATTCTCGATTCATTTTACTTATCATTTGCTGCAAGAGCCTAAGGAAAAACTGTCAGTAGTGAAACTGCAATCATCTTAAAAGTATTCACATGTGGACTAATAAGCCATTTGATGACTTGCTTGGCATTTTGAGAATATTAACTTCTGACGGCATGGTTAATTGACCAAATAGCTTCCAAACTTTTGGAAACATGAGCTCGCAATGCAGTATATTGACCAATGGTTCTTATTCTGCACAACCTGCCTCCTTAGTTGTGCATGAAACAAGTATAATTTATCATTTCAATGATAATACCTGGTACTCATAGCCTGGATATGGTAATCGATGTAATTAATATAGATCTGATATCGGTGAATAAATGTTATACTAGTAACTGATAATACCTCGTCCGCGGCCGCCCTAACAACGAGCTGCAGCCGGGAACCGCTGCTGCTGTTGTTCTTGGGTGCGAAGAACAAGAAGCTGCTGCCGCTGGTCTTTGAGGTTGTTGTGACGTTAGGTGTGAAGACGAACCCTGAAGCGGCCGACGCCATGTTGCAGCTAGCCATGATTCAGGGTGTGGAAGCAGATAAATTGAAAACAGCAGAAGTTGCAATTGGGGAGTGTGGCTTTTGAGTTTTGAGCAATTTGTGTGGCCGGTTTTTCCCTTTTTTTTTCCAGGGCTGGTGGCAAGTTAGAATTATCTCTATCTTGGAAGGTAAAGTTAAGGGGAAGATCGTTTCATCCACTGAGATACTGCCACTTGGTCACCATATCTGGTTCCTATCGATAATGTGACTACAGGTCATCTCGTCTCCCCACCAACTTTAATAATTCGGATGCTCTCCGGTCTCCACCATGGTTGTCACGCTTGCCGACGTGCCACCGGTTGTACCGGGTTCAATCGGTATCGGTCATAAAACCGGCGTAATACCACCGGTATGACCGGCATGATCGATATACGAATCTCTAAATAAAATGGCCTTATTTTAGAAAATTTAATTGATAAAAATTATTTTATTTTATGAGTATAAAAGTTAAATATTGATGTTATTTGTTGGATTCAAGTATAAATGTTTAGGTATTGACGTTAAATGTCATGTTTAAATATAAATATTTATAATTTTATTTGTAATATTGACTGGCATGAACCGGCACAAACCGGTATGTGCCACCGGTTGAACCATTCCATTTGCTAAACCGGCATACTGACATAAACCAGTTTGACAACCTTGCTCTCCACTCAACCCCAGCTGCGAGACGAGATCTAATGCCAATTTCTCAAGGGGCCAGTCTGTTACAGTTTGGTGGAGTTTCGCTGTGTAATTAAAATTCTCCTCACTGGATTTGCTAGGCACTAAAGATGGGCTGAGATTTTGTGACTAGTGATCACTAAATGAATCTTTCACTTTTGCACCTCATTAAAATTTAATATCTAGATTAATTTCATTTAATAAAGGACAAAATAGTAATTACACAAATTAATTATTTAATAATTAAATTAAAAATAAAATTTGGGCTGAATTAGCTGTCCCCTCCCGCCGGCCGCCTGTTTTCTAAGACCTGCCGCCGACCGCCCTGGGAATTCCGATAGCTTTTCCGGCGATGGCGGAGGAGTCTGACGACCAGACACGACAGAGATGGATTTTCCGACGACAGTGCTGGATTCGTGATGTTTGACGACCTATTATGTAATGTTTATATCAATTCGGTTTGTATCGTTTATCATTCTAGTTTGTTATTTTTATCTATTATAAAATGTAATGTTTAGATGACGATTTTGTACATATTGTAAAATGTAATGTTTGTTTGTCTATTTTTTATATTTTAATGCTATGATTTGTATACTTTGTATTAATATTTTTTTTTAAGGGAAAGGAGGGAGCGCACCATCACAGATTTCAGGCGATTTTCTGGAAAAGCCACTTTCCTTGGATTTTGAAGGCGACCGATCACAGATTCGTCCTTAGGGTACTCTCCACCAATGATGAAGTCTACTAATCGCCGATTTGGGCATAAATTTGGTCGAACTTTTGCGGTGGGCATTTTGTTAATTTTCTTCGATTTTTTTGAAAGGCCGTTTTCCATGGATTTTGAAGGCTGCAGATCACGGATTCAGGTTGCGGCTATTCTTTAGGGATGAATGAGTCTATTAGACACCGATTTGGGCGAAATATTTTCAGGGACATTTTTGGCAGATTCCAAAGGGGTACCATCACCAATTTCGGGCGATTTTTTGGAAAGGCCATTTTCCTTGAATTTTGAAGGCGACGGGTCACAGCTTCGTCCTTAGGGTACTCTCCACCAATGATGAAGTTTACTAATCGCCGATTTGGGCAAATATTTGGTCGAACTACCCGCTGTCTCCAATATGGACCCGGTGAAATTGAATTCTCCATCAAGATGCGGAGTACCAACGGCAAGACGGTAAGACCCCGTGCACCTTAACCATTTGCGGAGGGAATTTTGGTAATTTTCTTAGATTTTTTGGAAAGGTCGTTTTCCATGGATTTTGAAAGCTGCAGATCACAGATTCAGGCTGAGGCTATTCTTTAGGGATGAATGAGTCTATTAAACAATGATTCGGACGGAATATTTCCGAGGCCATTTTTGGCAGATTCCAAAGGGGTACCATCACTGATTTCGGGCGATTTTTTGGAAAGATCATTTTTCTTGAATTTTGAAGGCGGCGGATCACAGATTCGTCCTTAGGGTACTCTCCTCCAATGATGAAGTCTCCTAATCGCCGATTTGGGCATAAATTTGGTCGAACTTTTGGGGAGGGCATTTTGTTAATTTTCTTCGATTTTTTTGAAAGGCCGTTTTCAATGGATTTTGAAGGCTGCAGATCACGGATTCAGGCTGAGGCTATTCTTTAGGGATGAATGAGTCTATTAGACACCGATTTGGGCGAAATATTTTCGGGAACATTTTTGGCAGATTTCAAAGGGGTAACATCACCGATTTCGGGCGATTTTTTGGAAAGGCCATTTTCCTTGGATTTTGAAGGCGACGGATCACAGCTTCGTCCTTAGGGTACTCTCCACCAATGATGAAGTCTACTAATCGCCGATTTGGACAAAAATTTGGTCGAACTACCCCGCTGTGTCCGATATGGACTCGGTGAAATTGAATTCTCCGTCAAGATGCGGAGTACCAACGGCGAGACGGTAAGACCCCGTGCACCTTAACCATTTGCGGAGGGAATTTTGGTAATTTTCTTCAATTTTTTGAAAGGTCGTTTTCCATGGATTTTGAAAGCTACATATCACAGATTCAAGCTGGGGCTATTCTTTAGTGATGAATGAGTCTATTAAACACTGATTCGGACGGAATATTTCTGAGGCCATTTTTGACAGATTCCAAAGGGGTACCATCACTAATTTTGGGCGATTTTTTGGAAAGATCATTTTCCTTGGGTTTTGAATGTGACAGAACACATATTCGTCCTTCGGGTACGCTCCTCCAATGATGAAGTCTACTAGTCGCCGATTCGGACAGAAATTTGGTCAAACTTTTTCGAAGTGCATTTTGGTAATTTTTCGGCGCTTTTTTGGAAATGCCGTTTTCCATGGATTTTGAAGGCTGCAGATCACTGATTCAGGCTGAGGCTATTCTTTTGGGATGCATAAGTCTATTAAACACCGCTTTTGGCGAAATATTTCCGGGTCCATTTTTGGCACTTGGCAGATTCCAAAGCGGTACCATTACCGATTTCAGGCGATTTTTTGGAAAGGCTATTTTCCTTGGATTTTGAAGGCGACGGATCACAGATTCTTCCTTAGGGTACTCTCCATCAATGATGAAGTCTACTAATAGCCGATTTGGGCAGAAATTTGGTCGAACTTTTTCAGAGGGCATTTAGGTAATTTTACTGTGATTTTTTTGAAAGATCGTTTTCCATGAATTTTGAAGACTGTAGATCACAGATTCAGGCTGAGGCTATTCTTTAGGAATGAATAAGTCTATTAAACAATGATTCGAGCGGAATGTTTCTGGGGCCATTTTTTGCAGATTCCAAAGGGGTACGTACCATCACCGATTTCGGACGATTTTTTGGAAAGACCTTTTTCCGTGGATTTTGAAGGCGACGGATCAAAACTTCGTCTATTAAACATCATTTTTGACAGATTTCAAAGGGGTACCATCACCGATTTCAGACGATTTTTCGAAAGGCTATTTTCCTTCGATTTTGAAGGCGACGAATCACATATTCGTCCTTATGGTACTCTCCACCAATGATGAAGTCTACTAATCGCCGATTTGTTCAAAAATTTGCTCGAACTTTTTCAGCATTTTTGTAAATTTTTGGCGATTTTTTCAAAATACCGTTTTCCATGAATTTTGAAGGCTACAGATCACCTATTCAGGCTGAGGCTATTCTTTAGGGATGAATATGTCTATTAAACATCATTTCGGACGGAATATTTCCGTTGCCATTTTTGACAGTTTCCAAAGGGGTACCATCACCGATTTCGGGCGATTTTTTGGAAAGGCCATTTTCTTGGATTTTGAAGGCGAAAGATCACAGATTCGTCCTTAGGGTACTCTCCACCAATGATGTAGTCCACTAATCGCCGATTTGGGCAGAAATTTTGTCGAACTTTTGAGGATGGCATTTTGGTAATCTTTCGGCGATTTTTTTGAAAGACCGTTTTCCGTAGATTTTGACGGCTGCAGATCACGGATTCATGCTGAGGCTATTCTTTAGGGATGAATGAGTCTATTAAGCACCGATTCGGGAGGAATATTTCCATGGATTTTGAAGGCGACGGATCACAGATTCGTCCTTAGGGTACTCTCCACCAATAATGAAGTCCACTAATCGCCGATTTGGTAAAAATTTGGTCGAACTTTGCAGATGGCATTATGGTGATTTTCCTTCTATTTTTTTGAAAGGTCGTTATCCGTGGATTTTGAAAGATGCAAATCACGGATTCAGGCTGAAGCTACTCTATTGGGATGAATGAGTCTATTAAACATCGATTCAGACGGAATATTTCCGGGGCCATTTTTTGGAAAGGCCATTTTACTTGGATTTTAAAGGCGACGGATCACACATACGTCCTTAGGGTACTCTCCTCCAATGATGAAGTCTACTAATCGCCGATTTTGGCAGAAATTTTGTCTAACTTTTAGGGAGGGCATTTTGGTAATTTTCCAAGGATTTTTTTTTAAACACCGTTTTCCATGGATTTTGAAGGATGCAGATCAAGGATTCAGGCTTAGGCTATTCTTTACGGGTGAATAAGTCTATTAAACACTATTTTAGGCGAAATATTTTCAGTACCATTTTTGGCAGATTCCAAAGGTGTACCATCAACGATTTCATGCGATTTTTTCGAAAAGCCATTTTCCTTTGATTTTGAGGGCGACGGATAACATATTCGTCCTTATGGTACTCTCCTCTAATGATGAAGTCTACTAATCGCCGATTTGGGTAAAAAATAGGTCGAACTTTTGCTAAGGGCATTCTGGTAATTTTAATTAGATTTTTTTGAAAGATCGTTTTCCATGGATTTTGAAAGATGCAGATCACGGATTTAAGCTGAGGCTATTATTTAGGGAT